CCACTCCGGGACATGACCTGCTGTCCTCTGCAGCACTCCGGATTACAGCATGTGCAAAGTGAAAGAAACAGCATCTACTCTGTGTCATCATTCATGGATGGAGAGGACTATTCATACAGGCGTGTGTATATATGATATATACTGCCGAGGCTTTCTTCATAGTAAAAGCCATGTCGTATCATGTGTGTGTGTGTAATTATTATGATGGAGATCTCTGATAATAATATATGTGAGCATTTATACCTCCATAATCTGCCATCACACAGGATCATATCATGTCCTGACAGTTCTTATTCTTTGTAATTCGTCATGTTATTTATAATTATGTATATCAATCTATAATCCAGCATCACTATATCACTCCGTGGCCTGCCAATGTGTTCTGCAAAGCTAAAGGAATGTTCCATACTTTGTATATATACTAGGAATGTTCTATACTTTGTATCCAGCAATATATATACTAGGAATGTTCTATACTTTGTATCCAGCAATATATATACTAGGAATGTTCTATACTTTGTATCCAGCAATATATATACTAGGAATGTTCTATACTTTGTATCCAGCAATATATATACTAGGAATGTTCTATACATTGTATCCAGCCATATATATACTGGGGATGTTCTATACATTGCAACCAGCCATATATATACTGGGAATGTTCTATACATTGCAACCAGCCATATATATACTAGGAATGTTCTATACATTTCTTGTACCAGTGTAATATAAAGCTGCCCTCCAACCAGACAAATACATGTAAACCGATTAGGTTGTCTGCATTGTTTTAAAGGACTTGATGTGTCAATTAAATTCAGTTTAAACCAACAATTTAATGCAAGCCGAGCACACTCAGTCAGTTTTCGGCAGAGTTGATGTATAATATGTGGCATCCTTCTAGGATTTCATTGCAGACAGCTCAGGGAAAAAGCTCGGAGTGACAGCTTTTGTTTGGTAATGCCGCCTGTATCTCACTGATGGGTTAGTCACAGTGCGCTCTAATTGGGATGTGTGTTTGTGTTTTGTTGGGGCTGGTGCATGTGATGTACTGATGTGTACAGTGCGGGATGGATGGATCGCAGGCTCGTATTACCAGATCGCTGTACTGTCACCACCATGCTCATCCTCAGGATATGTTCCAATTGATGCTGCACAAGCCGTGTCACCGGTATCTGTCGCCAAGCCCAGCAGAGGGAGGCTGTATGATAGCTCAGCCTGTCACATGGAGTGTACAGAGGCAGAGAGCAGAGCTGGGAGGACTAATGTGACATTACACCTGCCCCATGTGTCACTGGGACATGGAGAGGGATGTCCAGGCTGCATCCAGTACAGGGAACATGTCTTCATCGTATCTGTGTATTTATACATGTACACAGATATTCTGTGATTGTCAGTTACAGTAAGATGGTTGTTTTTATGATGTGCTTTTATCCATCTCAGGAACAGTATCCATGTGCAGTTGTTACACATTTTACAGTTTTAACGGTAGTTAAGTATCTGCAGTGACAGCAGCGTCCATAATACTAGTTCCAGTTATTCTACATTCTGATGGGGGAAAGTATTTTATTGTTACACATATAAAGGTTTTATTGGTGTTTTTTATAAAGTTGTTCTAGGTATTGTTAACAGTTGTCCCTCTTGCAGGGATGGTTGCTGGTTGTATGTGTCATGTTATCGGTCAACTGTACTCTAAGGAAGTCACAGTCACTGGTTGTTATAGTGACGCTGGTTAGCTACTCATAAAGGATGTCATATGGGTTATGTACAGGTGTAGTTGGTGAGTTCTATAGTCGGTGGTACATTGGTGTGGTGAAGGGGGTTATGTACAGGTGTAGTTGGTGAGTTCTATATTTGGTGGTAGGTTGTTGTGGTGAAGGGGGTTATGTACAGGTGTAGTTGGTGAGTTCTATATTTGGTGGTAGGTTGGTGTGGTGAAGGGGGTTATGTACAGGTGTAGCTGGTGATTTCTATAGTCAGTGGAAGGTTGTAGAGGTGAAGGGGATTATGTACAGGTGTAGCTGGTGATTTCTATAGTCGGTGGTAGGTTGTTGTGGTGAAGGGGGTTATGTACAGGTGTAGTTGGTGAGTTCTATAGTCGGTGGTACATTGGTGTGGTGAAGGGGGTTATGTACAGGTGTAGTTGGTGAGTTATATAGTCGGTGGTAGGTTGTTGTGGTGAAGGGGGGTTATGTACAGGTGTAGTTGGTGAGTTCTATAGCCGGTGGTAGGTTGTTGTGGTGAAGGGGGTTATGTACAGGTGTAGTTGGTGAGTTCTATAGTCGGTGGTACATTGGTGTGGTGAAGGGGGTTATGTACAGGTGTAGTTGGTGAGTTCTATAGTTTGTGGTGTGGTGGAGTGGTATATGTTCAGGTATACGGTGTGTGTACATTGTTGTGGTGGGGTGATATATGTTCAGGTACACGGTGTGTGTACATTGTTGTGGTGGGGTGGTATATGTTCAGGTACAGCGTGTGTGTGCATTGTTGTGGTCAGGGCCGGTGCTAGGATTTTTGCCTACACAGGCAAAGTTGCATTTTTGCGCCCCCCTCCCCGACCCCTGTAGCGCTGGGCCTGCTCCCTATCAGCATGTAAGCTGCATAGTGTATTTTACGTGTTTGGCTGCTGTCCCCTTCCCCTCTTCCTCAATTCCCCCCTCCTCCGCACACCATCCACTTTTTTGTTCCTTTCAGCTTTGTTGTTTTGGGGCTCTGCGTAGTTTTGTAAAAAATTTTTTTTTTCTTCACTTACCTTCGGTGCGGGAGAGCAGCGGCGAGTCAGCGCTGGTCCGGTGGGAGGGGCTCCCGGGGGGGGTCCTAATTTAGCTGGCT